ATGGGAGTTCTATGTGCCAAGTTAGTTTCAGGTCTATCATTGTTGGAGTTCAGAATGGAGGAGGGGACTTTAAGATCTTCCAGAGAGGCCCACTACCTTCACAGTCGTGTTTGGTGGGGACGAGAGACAGGGCCTTCTCTGTGGCGGCCCGCCCGGCTGTGGAACACTCCCCAGTGAGATTAGGGCTTCACCCTCCCTCCTGTCCTTCAGGAAGCAGCTGAAATCCTAGTTTTGGAATCAGGCATTCACAGATTGATGGATGATCCGGTATAGACTAAGAGTTAATGGACAACATTTGGATTGAATTGGGTGATGTTTTAACTTGATAAATTGTTTTTATATCTAGTATTCCCAAGACTTTTTTTTATCTCATCTTGAACTCACATGAGACTATTTTGGATATGTTAAAGTTTCTCTACATGACTTTTGGAAGATCCGACAAATTATTTGGAAAACATGAAAAAAAATGTTGGTCGTGTCAGGAGCAACTTGAGAAACTGCAAGTCGCTTCTGGTGTGAGAGAATTGGCCGTCTGCAAGGACGTTGCCCCGGGGACCCCTGGATGATTTGATATTTTTATCATCCTTGTGAGAGGCTTCTTTCATGTCCCCGCATGAGGAGCTGGAGCTGATAGAGGGAGCTCATCCGCCTCTCCCCGGATTCGAACCTGCAATCTTCAGTCCTGTCGGCACAGGGGTTTAACCCACTGCACCACCAGGGGTTCCAACATGAATATAATATTATGTTTGTTACACCATTGTAAATAGTCCCATCGCATTTGTTCCCTATGCTTATGTACTATACGAATTAATTGAGTATTCTCATGATTAATTGAATTGATACTTTTGCTGAAGTTTATAGCAACAGGACATTTGTGTATTTACATTGCACAAAAATACTATCTGTTGTGTGCTTTCAAGTAGTTTCAGACTTAGGTTGAGTCTGAATGAGGGCCGAGTAAATGACCTGGGAGGGCCGTATCCAGCCCCCGGACCTTTAGTTTGAGGACCCCTGATTTGGAGGATCAATATAGCACTGTGGATACTACCTTTAAAGTTTGAACTAAAACCAGGAATGGATGTATCACTCTGCCAACATGAACATCACCAGTTGCCACTGCAAATCTGTAATAGTTAAGTAAAGGTAAAAGTTTCCCCTGACATTAAGTGTAGTTGTGTCCGACTGCTGGGGGTTGGTGCTCATCTCCATTTCCAAGCCAAAGAGCCGGCGTTGTCCACAGACACCTCCAAGGTCATGTGGCCGGCATGACTGCACGGAGCGCTGTTACCTTCCTGCAAAATGGTACCTATTGATCTACTCACACTTGCATGTTTTCGAACTGCCAGGTTGGCAGAAGCTGGGGCTAACAGCAGGAGCTCACCCACTCTGCCAACCTTTCAGTCAGCAAGCTCAGTGGTTTGATCTGCTGCGCCACCGGGGGCAGGGGACTGTTAATAGTTGTGCCAGTGCAATTCATGATAATGTTAAAGGAAAACACATTTTATTTTATTTTTGAAGGCCATGGGGGTGGGGATGGGTATCCTATTGGCTTGGGAGTGGCAAACTGTTTTTATAGCTCTGGGAATCTCAGGCCCCAACAAGACTCAGAAAAAAAGAAGGGAACAAGGTGACTTTTTCCTTCCCTGCCTTTGTGGTCCACACCCTATGACTCCAAGGTCTCTGGTGCCTTTCAACTCAAGGTGTGCTGCCTGGCTTGTAAATGCAAGCCACACATGAAGATTGCAGACTTCATTGAATCAATTTGTCTTGCTTGAATGAAAACCATTCAGTCTGTCTCTCTGCAGAATGAGCTAAACAATAACTCTCTGTTTTTGTGTGACCCTCAAAGACATTTCTTCTGCTGAAATATGGCAGAGAAATTTATTTTATTCTAAATTTGCAATATTGACTATTCAATCCATACTTGCAATTGCTACCAAAGGCCATCCCTACCATTATGTAGATTGAAGTGGCTGCCTCAAGCAACAAATTGTTAGTTATTTACTTCATTGTTGGTTTGTATTTTTACTCTAAGGGACCGGTAAAAGCTCTTTAGGATTTTCTGCTTTGTGTGCCAAAGTAATTTAGAAAATCAGTCCCTTGGGTAAATTGAATCACTATAATTTCGTGTACTTTACTCATTATTTCACGGAGAGTGTCATCCCCTTTTGTGAGAGTTGTATGCATTCAAGGATAGTTCGGAAGTGTAGTGTAAGGGAGTGTGTTATTTTGCTCTTATTTCAGTTGCTTCTTAGGAAAAAAAAACTTCCTCTGCTGGTCCTATATGACTGGTCTGAATTGGTCTGTTGATTCCCTTAATGGGTTGTTGTAGGTTTTTTCAGGCTATATGGCCGTGGTCTAGAGGCATTCTCTCCTGACGTTTCACCTACATCTATGGTAAGCATCCTCAGAGGTAGTGAGGTCTGTTGTAACTAGGAAAAGGGGTTTATATATCTGTGGAATGACCAGGGTGGGTCAAAGGGCTCTTGCCTGCTGGAGCTAGGTGTGAATGTTTCAACTGACCACCTTGATTAGCATATAATGGCCTGACAGTGCCTAGAGCAAACTTTTGTTGAGAGGTGATTAGATGTCCTTGTTTGTTTCCTCTCTGTTGTTGTGCTGTTGTAATTTTAGAGTTTTTTAAATACTGGTAGCCAGATTTTGTTCATTTTCATGGTTTCCTCCTTTCTGTTGAAATTGTCCACATGCTTGTGGATTTCAATGGCTTCTCTGTGTAGTCTTACATTTGCTCTAGGCACTGTCAGGCTATTATATGCTAATCAAGGTGGTCAGTTGAAACATTCACACCTAGCTCCAGCAGACAAGAGTCCTTTGTCTCACCCTGGTCATTCCACAGATATATAAACCCTTTTTCCTAGTTCCAACAGACCTCACTACCTCTGAGGATGCTTGCCATAGATGCAGGCGAAACGTCAGGAGAGAATGCCTCTAGAACATGGCCATATAGCCCGAAAAACCTACAACAACCCAGTGATTCCGGCCATGAAAGCCTTCAACAATGCATCGATTCCCTTAATATTCACAATCCCAGTGTGTCTTTGAATATACCAAGTTATTGAAAGTGGGGGAGGATAAGGAAATTATTTCTCTGGAATGCGACTAAAATGACCAAGGGTCTGGAGAACAAGCCCTATGAGGAGCGGCTTAAAGAGCTGGGCATGTTTAGCCTACAGAAGAGAAGCTTGAGAGGAGACATGATGAGGGCATGTATAAATATGTGAGAGGAAGTCATAGGGAGGAGGGAGCAAGCCTGTTTTCTGCTTCCCTGGAGACTAGGATGCGGAACAATGACTTCAAACTACAAGAAAGGAGATTCCATCTGAACATTAGGAAGAACTTCCTGGCTGTGAGAGCCATTCAGCAGTGGAACTCTCTGCCCCAGAGTGTGGTGGAGGCTCCTTCTTTGGAAGCTTTTAAACAGAGGCTGGATGGCCGTCTGTCAGTGGTGCTTTGAATGCAATATTCCTGCTTCCCGGAAAGGCCCTTCTTTCACACCTGCCTTCATCGCAAACACAACTAGTGGGGATGAGGGAGAGGGACTTCTCTGTGGTGGCCCCTCGGCTCTGGAATTCACTCCCCAGAGATATTAGGCAAGCCCCCACTCTGGCAATCTTCAGGAAGAGCCTGAAAACTTGGCTATTCCAATGTGCCTTCAGTGATTGATTACATGATAATCTCTGACCAAACTCTGCATAAAATGCCCTCAGAAGCACTTTATTCTCTTGTTGTGCAATTAAATCCTACCTCATCCCCCGGAGCCCCTCCCTGATATTTTACATTGCCCTATCTCCCAGTGTTTTAAAATTTTAATCCTTGAATTTGGCCCTGCCCATGGTGATCATTTTTAATGTCGTAATGTTTTGATTTTATATTGTTGTGTCGCTTATATACATTGGTTTTGTATTTTAGGTTATTTTTTAATTTTCTGTTGTGTTTTTGTGTTGTATTGTGTATATTGTATTGATGGCCTCATGTAAGCCGCCACGAGTCCCCTTGGGGAGATGGTGGCGGGGTATAAATAAAGTTTTATTATTGTTATTATTATTATTAA